AGACATTTCCATTAGTCAAAATCTCATCCAAAGTATGGCCAAATCGAAAGTAAAAGTTGTATAGTAGTTGACTCCTCCAAAGAGAAGTATCATCAGGGGTTTGAAAAGAGTAAGCATGGTCTGCTAAGACACGGCCACTACCACAATGGTCAAAATTTCTTGATGACAAATACCATTTAAGAGATGGACAGAATAAAACTTTTCTTTGTTGAAAAATTTGGAAAAATGCAGAAATTACATGAAAACATGATGTTTTTATAAAGTACTGGTTCAGAAAAAAAAAATTGGCCATCCTTTCTGACAAAAACATCGTATCTCACACAATTTTCTGTGATTACTAAATCCATAGTTTTTTTTTTTGTTTTGAGTACAACGTAATTTCAATGTTATTATCATATTGAAATTTCTAGATTATCCATGTTCCCCCTTGATCTGAAGTAAGCTTTTTTTAAAGTTAGCATCATATTATTTCAAGATCATTGCTCTTTAACATTCAAAATATTTTGAAAAATGAACACTTTAAGTGTCTGGCTGACGAAATGAAAACACAAAAAGCTAAAACCAGACAATTTTGACAACTTTTTTTCTGAAACTATGGATTTGTTTTAAAGAAAGACAATATCTTGTGGACAAACTATTAAAGAAAGAAAACAGTATTGTCTGGTTAACTGGAAGTTTTCATTTATTTTGTTGTTAATCTTTCTTCAGACTGGTTTCTTAAATAACAAAATAGAAAAGATCTGAACTACAACAAATCATTTTAGAGGCTATCCACTATCCACTTAGTGAACATCCAAATTAACCAAATAACAAACCCAATAAAATCTTATCAATCAACATCCCTGACTAATCTCATTCTCTTATTGTAAATGAGAGTCAAGGAAGAAAAGAAGGAAACAACCATCTTTTAAAAGAATTACAACTTATAGTGCGTTCACACAACTAAAGTTAAGGCAGCTTAATCATCAACTGTTCTTTGAGTCTGATTTACTGTCTTTTGGTGAGCGTTCAGACGGACATTAAAGTTAAGCCAGCTTCGACAATACCTCAGAAGCTATCCGGAAGTTCAGAGGTCATAATACCACTACGCATGTGCATTATGACATAGGTATTAATGGCGGAAATTTGTTTAGACGAATGTGCACGTGCAGACATGACATATCGGGCTTAATGTTAGCCAGTAGCGTTCAGACGAAAATACTTAGCTTGCTTAACTATTAAAGCCAGGTTTTAAGCTACGAAGTAGGTGCAAGTTAAGACAGCCTAAGTTTAACCGGTCGCGTTCAGAGGACTGAAAAAAAAGGGATCGAAGAGCGGCTGATAGTTAAGCTGCCTTAACCTTTGGTTGTCTAAACGCACTATTAGGTTCACGAGAATCCTTTCTACTAGCTGGTCCTTGGTCAATCCTCATTCCACTAATCTATCATTCCAGGTCATCTATACCCAAATTCAGTTGGGTTGACTCAAATAATTAGAGAACTCATTCAGAGTCACCACCAGACTTTCAAACAGGACAAAACCCACGACAACCAAGTGATTGGAGTAACCAAGCAAATGACACCATTTCACGTTTCCAAGGTTTCAACTGTCGTATGTGCTGTGTTAATTAATTGAAATTTTATCATTGCTATCAACTTGTTATCAAGAACTTGTATTAATTATTGTGCTTAACATTATTTAAGAAACTTCTGGAATAAATTAGAAATTTTTAAATCAAAATTTCTTCATTGGACGTTTAATTAAATCATTGGAAATAAAAAAATAGGAGACTGGATTGATAGTACAGTGAAACCCCTGTAAACCGCATCCTCTATAAACCGGATTCCTCTGTTGAAAAGTCCTGGCCAAATCACTATATAATAGGAGATAAACCCCGGTAAACCGGCACCCCTCTAAACCGCATCGAAATCAAGTCCCGAAGTAGTTAATCTCTCAACCGGCACCTTAATTAGTTCTCATAATAATTGACATTAATCCGTTGGCGTCATTAAAGATATATATATGACATGTGGTGTGACTAGTTATCAATGGAAACGATTAATCACTAATCCAATTTAAATATCGATTTCCATTGTTTCCCTGATTGATTATTTCTCTCTACACATTATGTATACTGACATTTGAACATTCGGTCATTTCCCAAACTCAAATTTGTGTTAAATTAGCTGATTTTCTCAAGAATTTAAATCGTAATCATGGAAGGCCCTAACAAACTTAATCTTACCGATAATATCAATCTCATCAAAGATTATGAGAAATTGACCAATATGACGGTATGAAAATAACGGCATTGGAGTGAAACAACGTTTTGGGAACAGGTGTCGACGTAAAAGCATCAAACATCATAAAGGGATGTAACTCTGTTATATTGCCACTCCATCAAGTAAACTGGCATTTAACGGTGGTCCGACGGCCTGTCTTAAACCCCTTTAGAGGGGTTTCACCGTACTGCCATTTCAAAAACTCTCCAGCAAAATCGGTACACTTGACAATCAATGGAGAGCTTCTTGCATAATACACCTTTCTTTCTTTGTGTTCAATTATAATTACCCATACCAATTACATTTATATATCTGTCTATCTGAAGAGAAAATTCAGTATCACCAGTAACACCCACACTATGTCACCTCAATAATGTAATATAATTCTATTAGAGAATAGATGTTTCTATGACATACCACACTCTAATCCTTATAGTTCATTGACATTAACCAAAGTAAGGAATAAATCATCAAAAATATTTAATCTTGTATCGACATTTAGATGTAGAAAGAAATTAAAGGAAGTAATAGTATATATCATATATATTTGCATGTATAATGCACAGTTTTTGTTTATTTTAAAAAGGGCTTGCCAAACTGGGTATGCAAATTATACACAATGAATTGAATTTTTCACCAGAGGTTCACCAGTCAATATTGACAATCAGCAATATTATATATGATACGAGAACTGGTCGAAAAGTTCTAAACTTTACTGTTAGATGGTTTTCATTTAATTCTCTACATAAACCCCTTCCATGTTTGAATACTTTAGCAAGCAATGCTGCAAGGCCTCGTTGAAGGTGAAAAAAGATCTTCTGAAGCCACTCTGAAAAGGTCATTCAGCATAATGCTGACCATCTTGTACTTTTGTCATTCCGAACTCATTGGTGATAATGTTTTGAACCCTCTCATGAGGAATGCCCATAACATTGGCAATTTGTCAAATGGTCAATCATCAGTCAGTCATCATCATGTCATGCACCTGGGTAATAATTTTCAGAATGGTTGTTGTTGAAGGCCTTCAAGGACGTGGGTCATCTTTTTGCCATGGTTGAATTCCGCAGTTCCCTACTTTACTGTAGAAAAGAAAGGAGACACATCCCCTAAATTGGAGACTATGTCAGCATGTATCTGTGTTTCAGTTAGCCCTTTCAGTAGCAGGTATTTGATGAATGTTCTTTAGCCAGTTTTGTCTATTTCTGATGATTTTAATGGGGAGGTTCACAAGATGGTCTGGTACAAAGACAATAATAACACTACTTGCAGTTCTTACGTCTACGATGCATTAAATAAATGAGTGCACCTGATGTTGACAAAAGTTTGTTTCAATCTCATCTCAGTTCGGCTGAGAACTTTTCAGCCAAACCTCGTATTGTTCTTTTCTTATATAAAAACACAATAATTGACTTGTAACCTCATACAGAGCCATTTAGATATCTATTAAGGGATATTTATGACAATGGCTCTCAAACTACAATATCAAAATACTTCAATTACAAACATGTTAATTATCAACATTTTTTTCATGTGAAATTTTAGAAAATGATATCCTCCTACACTATGTCACTGAAATAAATGTAATTTTATTTAAATCCTGATAGAATTAATGGTTGTATGACATACCCTACTGGTACATAATCCTTACAGTCTCTTTATTGACTTGGTCTTATTAATCGTCAGCTGGGTTCAAAGAAACTTCTTAACAGAAGATTTCTCAAAGATGTGATTGGTTTCTACAACGATTCTAATAATATTGGAAATATTGATGCTAGCCTCCTCGTAAAAATAATTTTTTTTCACAAATTTTCAAAAATATACTATCACACCGACATTGATTTTCCAATAAAGACCAGAGGAACTAGCTGAGCTGCCTGCCTCCAGAGCTGTTTCCATCAGCTACGCTGTATTTTTAGTGAGATTTCTGCCTTGAAATACTGTTAGACAAAATTCAACTTGTTTGATATTTTCTGTCTCGAAAAGCCAGAACTCACTTTTGCAACTGCCAGTTGGGCGAGAAAAAGTAAGTAACCAATAGAAAATGTTGACATGGTAACAACATGTAACCATCAAACAATTTTAGAAAAATCAACTTGTTAAACAATTGGAAGAATACGTGTCTATATATACGTGTCTATTCAAAAACAGGTACATGAGACAGATGAAGTTCCTCCTCTCTGCAACAGGCTTAAAAATTCTTGTGAAAAAATGTAAAAAAAAATTTTGAGAAACATGGCTTGGTAAGTTGTCAGCATTATCTCTAGTAAAACTACCAAGCATTAAATTTTAGTCTTCCAGTGACACCCTCCCACACAATGTCATCAAAATAATTTAATAAAATTCCTGATAGAGAATTAATGACACTCTGACATACACTGATATCATTTCTTATAGTTCATCTATATTCTCTACTGAATAGTGACAATTTCTATTACAACTGTTGACTTGCAACATTCAAATGTATATTTTTGTTGCAGTTACCAATTTTTTTTGTAATCTCTTTGTAGATCTTTCCAAATGATGTTGACAGATATCTGTTTCATCACTCCATGGAAATGTAATGCCACAAACTAGGGCTGGGTATGGATTACCAAATTGTTTCAGCCTACCACTATATTAGAGTACCTGTTTCAGCTACCACTATAATAGAGTACCTGTTTCAGCCTACCACTATATTAGAGTACCTGTTTCAGCCTACCACTATATGAGAGTACCTGTTTCAGCTACCACTATAATAGAGTACCTGTTTCAGCCTACCACTATATTAGAGTACCTGTTTCAGCCTACCACTCTATTAGAGTACCTGTTTCCGCCTACCACTCTATTAGAGTACCTGTTTCAGCCTACCACTCTATTAGAGTACCTGTTTCAGCCTACCACTATATGAGAATACCTGTTTCAGCCTACCACTATATTAGAATACCTGTTTCAGACTACCACTCTATTAGAGTATCTGTTTCAGCCTACCACTCTATTAGAGTACCTGTTTCAGCCTACCACTATATTAGAATACCTGTTTCAGCCTACCACTCTATTAGAGTACCTGTTTCAGCCTACCACTATATTAGAATACCTGTTTCAGCCTACCACTATATTAGAATACCTGTTTCAGACTACCACTTTATTAGAGTACCTGTTTCAGTCTACCACTCTATGAGAGTACCTGTTTCAGCCTACCACTATATGTGAATACCTGTTTCAGCCTACCACTATATTACAATACCTGTTTCAGTCTACCACTATATGAGAGTACCTGTTTCAGCCTACCACTATATTAGAATACCTGTTTCAGACTACCACTATATGGGAGTACCTGTTTCAGTCTACCACTATATGAGAGTACCTGTTTCAGTCTAACACTATATGGGAGTACCTGTTTCAGTCTACCACTATGTGGGAGTACCTGTTTCAGTCTACCACTACATGAGAGTACCTGTTTCAGTCTACCACTATATTAGAGTACCTGTTTTAGCCTACCACTATATGAGAATACCTGTTTCAGTCTACCACTATATGGGAGTACCTGTTTCAGCCTACCACTATATGAAAGTATATTGCTACCAATACATGTTTCAGTCTATCTTCAATAAACGAATTTTGCCACCACCTGTTTCAGCCTACCACAATATGAAAGACTAATAATAAGACATATACATCAAATCTGACATTGATACATGTCAAATATATCAATGAAACATAAATTGCATTTATAAATCCATTTTAGAACTTAACAGTGTGGCAGGTGTTGACATATTTACAAAACTTAATGATATTGCTGGGTCCACATTAAAAGGCATCTCAAGAGTCACGTGGATAAAAATAGATCAAGGGTCAGTATGCTAGAGACCCAGTAAGTTAGGGATCTCTTAACAATGCTCCAGACCCTGTAAAACTCTATTTTCATTTTCTTTTAGTTTTAGAGATAAAAATTCATTTCATTTCAAAATATCATTAGGATAGAGAAGGTTTGAATTTTACGTGTTTTAATCGAATTTGGCCTTACTCTCAAACTCTAATAAATTATAGTTAAATTGCAAATTGGAAAATTGATTGGGAAATAAGTGTAAAAGCTCTGTTACATAAGAGCTGCAGACAGTCCTTGATAAATTATGCAACATGTTTATGACTCTACACACACAAATATCAGTTAGAAAGACCAAATATGTATAGGTTTTAAGAGATATCTAAAGGCAAAACATGATGTGCATCATATTCACATATATGCAGCAAGTAACATCAAATTATGCAAAATATCCTTTACACATTCTTACCTAAAAATTCAAAATTATTTCTTGATAAACTGCAAATGAATACAGCTCCTTAATGTCTTCTAATCTACTCAAAACCCAAATCACAAATAATGATCAAATATAAAGTTTACAACAGGAAAAAGTAGGCCGGGTGATTTTTTGTGACAATTTCCTTATTAACACCATGATGACATATTTAGATACAAAATAAAAACAAATGAAATTAATTTTTATCTAATCATCTTCATTATAAATTTATCATGTACCATATGTTATTAATTGACTTAGACATTTTTTTTTCACCTTAATATGTTTTCTTTCTATCATTGAGGCAATATAATTATGGTAAAGGTGTGGTCAACTATTTTCTCTTTTTTCCTTTTCAATACTGACCGATATTATTGAATTTATTGAATTTGTCAGTAATGTCTGAATAGAGACTCGTAAATGGCTCAGAAATGCATGGAAATAATGCTTATATTAATATCAGTCCATGGACAATTTGACTGAATCACAAAAAATAACCACCTAAACATTCTTGTCCATGATCATTTTTGTAGACAGATGTCTGTGGTTCCTGCAATTCCATTAAAATTAAGTGTTTGATGACATCACTAATCACAAAATATGCTTTTATCACATAAGTTCTATCACCATTAGTGACATCATCAAACACCTAGTTTTAATGGAATTGCAGGAACCACAGATGTCTGATTGAAAATTGGAATGGTGCAAATTGATGCTATCAGTGTCCCTAATACTCATAAAGTTTTTAGAAAACCTCTCTACAATCCATTTCATAATGGCACGCTCACAGAATACGAATTTCGATGGAGTTCACTGTGGGCATCTTGACACAAAGAAAAAAGAGGTGAGACTATCTAAGAATTTATTTTCAGTTAAAAATCTGTTGTCTGAAATGTAGTCCGCTCCTGTTTGATACCAGGCCCCTAAAAATCTAAGGCTTTAACATTGAGTGCTTAAAGGTGGACAGAATTGGGCACAATGCAACTAGAGAGAGAAAACATTTCTAGGCCACTATATTCAAAAAAGCAACTTATTCAAAAATGGCATTGCATGATCTACATGTTATGTCATAGTCTTATATCAAAGCTAAAACTAGATGTTATGGTGAACAAATTTTGAAAATCAGACCAATCCCAAAAACTTAACTTGCAAATAATATTGTTATTGCCACATACTTCCCTACTTCAACCACAGGCAGTTGTAGTAGCAGACTAGCTTGTTCTCTCTGACTTATTAATTCATCTGTCATCTATAAGACAATAACTTATTACATCTTTCCAATATTGTCTCTATGACTGCAGGACATCACTTTCTATTATTTCTAGGAAATTACCAGATTTGTATGACATAGTGCTAGAGTTATTAAACAAGTTATTAAAGGGAGTATACCACTTATTTATCGTATTTTCAAGAAACCTCAAAGATATGGATAATAATGCAAAACCAAACTTTGCATTTTATCTATCTACTCATGACCGCCTTTTGATCATATTGCTCAACAGATTTGCCATTTTCGGAAGTAAATCATACCTCGCTCTCAGAAACATACATTGTTCAGCTAGGCTAATTGGTTAATACTCTCACCGCTTACGTTAAAATTTGAGCTTTCTTAGCCATATGTATCCATAATCATCCCTGATTGAAGTTAAAGAGACAAGTCGTTTCTCCAAGATTTCCATTTTAATGACATTACATGTATACAGTAGACTCAATCATCTTGTCTCTCTACACACAGCTGAGACCAAAGATGTCCTAGTGTCACTATTACATAAGACATACAACTTTCCAATACCTCAATTTTCAGACAGAACATAAGCTTGTGAACAAAATAATTAAAAGGTGAAATATCTGGTTATTTGTGCAGTTATATTTCTGAAGACTATCTACATATATTCAAGACACAAATCAACCCCTAAAAATGTTGTTTCCTTTTAAGACTAAATCAAATTTATAGGACAAACATTCCTGCATCTATTGATTTCATTGGAAAAAATATCTTAACAATACAAAAAGATGTATTCTTGGAAATTTGATTTTTTTTTGCTATTATGAATCTGGCACACACCTCCCCTTTAATTCTGTTACAAAATCTTATTACATATGGAATCAATTATTCAGCAGTTTACAATATGCTGGTCTTTGATTGAATGTGATTATTCATGCTGCTTATATATAAATACAGTCGTCTGAATATCTGAAAGCTAAATCATGTTTGAACATATTGAAGCAGACTATATAATAGAGAGGGGATTTGTCTTGAATTGGAACATAACCTCACATCATTTTTTTTTATTATTGATAGTTAAGCTATAGGTGTTTGCTCAATTAAATCAATTTTTCTTTCAATGCATGTTAAAGACTCCACCCACTAATTTTTCAAGGTATTTCAAGTAAATTTGTCTCTGGAAAAGGTAGTGAGTAATCCCCTAGGGGTCCAAGAGAAATATCATTGGGAGTACTTGATCAATATTTCCCTGATGATGCTTTCAAAAATTACTGTTTTTTGTGACATTTTTCACCCCTGTCCATAGATCCCCTATAAACGTTTCATTTGAATTTTGATTCTTCATTTCTCCTAAGACAGGCAAGGTTCTACCAGAAACAAAAACACTAAAGCTTACAAAGGCTAGAAAAAGGTTTGGGAACCATAGCAATAAGGGACAGAAATCATGTCTCCTTCAGAATTTGACAAAAACAAATCATGAAGAATTCTTCAACTTGTATGGAAATGTTCCAAACTTGATATACAAGTATAGCCATGTACTTGACATTGCCTAAGAACAGATCAATCAAAACTATCCAAATAATTCCATATCACTTAAAAAGTATGAATTGTTAAAGGGATTGTAAAGAGGTTTTCTAGTCTTTTTATGTGTTATCAGGGACACCTTTGACATCTATTTGGGACATTCTAATTCTTCGTCCGATGCCTGTGGTTCCTGCAATTCCAAAAGGAATTAACTGGAAATGACACATCTCCAGCGAGAGAATTCATTACCAACCTACCACTGGACCACAATAACATAACAATATAGAAGTCAAATTTTGTCTCTGATACACATAAAAAGGCTAGAAACCTCTTTACAATCCCTTTAACAGCAAAAAAATGTCCTTTATTGCACACTGTACAGCATCATCATCTTTATCTGCCAAATAAGGTGCCAAACTTGAAGAGTTATACCTCATTGTCTTTAGTTACAATTAATATTCTCATAAAAAAATAAGATTTAAAAAAGGAATTCTAAAGGAGAATTATATTAATGAGAATCTAATGCCTGATAATTGATGTAGAGTGGTTTTAAGACGGATAGTTAGACTATAGAAAGGGTCAAAATGACCTACCACAGCTACTGAGAGAATTTATAGATTTTTATTCCTTTTTTTCTTTTTTTTTCTTCAACAACATTCACCTATTAAAATAGAGAGTAGGTCTTTTTTAACATCATCAAATATTTTTCTAGAAAAGAATTTAAAAAATATTTGAGTTTCTTTAAAAATGAATTTTTTGTTATGTTGACAAATGGTTGACAATGGTGGTTGTGGGTTCTAATCATAAGCAGCATCAACTGTATAAGCATATAAGCAAGTTAAAGTCTTGTGACCTTGAATAAGTCATCTTTACTAATTCTCGACCCAGCTATAAATGGGTACAGATAATCCTGAAAAGATCAGAGATCTAATAGATTGTACAAAGAACCAGCTGATAGAAAAGCTCCTTGTGAACCTAAGTTGTTATCCTTGTAAAAACTGGTTGTTTCTTATTTTCTATCAAGTTTCTTATAATAAGTTTCTAATATATTTCATTTTCCTTTACAAAATGATTTATTAATTGAGTAAGACTATTCTTATGGTTTCTAATAGCTGTATTTTTTAAAGTTTTTAAAGTAAGTATAAGTTTGCTCCTTCTGTGGAATCAACATTTGAGAATAACAAATATCGATTCTAACAATGAGATTTCAAAAAAAATCCAAACAGATAGACATCAATATTCAATGAAAAAACTATGGAAAATAACAAAGTAAATATATATATTTATACTGTCTAATTTTGGCACAGATTGTCTTCCATATATCAAAGCGCACTGACTGGTAATTACTGGCAAACCTTATTCACTCACTGATAATTAAAATCTTAATTACATCCCTGTAATCAATAACAGATAATTAATTTGTCAAACAAGAAACAATTAGAAATCTTAGACATGAAATCTCAGAGTTCAGATTAATTTCTTATTTTTTTTGTCTTTTGTATCAGAAAATTTTCAAAAATTTGTAATTTGTCTTTGAATGCTTTTGAGTTCAAAAAAAAGAAGGGGTTGTGTAGTTTTAAGGTGCTCTCACACCATAGTCTTTACCAGTTGTGTATGGTTGTTAATAATGAACATGGCCATGCATAACAAATGCACTTCATAACTCAGTAGCATGGGAGCTGCGTTCTAAACTTAAGACCGTATCCACTGTGATCACCATTGTCAGGATGTACTATTATGTGAGAGCACATTTACATCTGAAATAAATACACTTACCCAAAGAAACTGCAAGACCTACATCTGTCTGCTGTCTTTCATTAAAGGGACAGTTATTGAAAGCATAATGAATTTCAATTATGCATAAAAATTGTATTTATATTTGCTATTTATGTCCATGAAAACTTGATCAACCTAAATATGTTTTAAAAATGAAATGAAATGAAAGGAGTTTTACATCCCACTTTTCTGTACAATGTGGGCTAATGAAGACAGCAAAGTCGTGCAGGGTGCAATGAGAGAAATTTTGTAGGACAGCGGCATTAACCTACTATTTTTCGAATTCCAACTAACGAGGGATCCTTTATGTGCACAGCCTGTAGCATACGGGCCTCAGTTTATTGTCCCATCTGAACGATTTGACGCTTTTTCCATGCCAGCCCCTCTATGATGATATACATTTTTAAAAGGGATGTCATAAAGCCCATGACAATCAATAATATTTGGACATGTTAATACATTTCATATAAATATCATAGGTGAAATGTGCTCCACAGTGATATAATAAGAAAATAGATCTGATTCTAACAAATTGAAATGCAGTCCTGCAATAAAAGTCTGATTTAGATGTATTCTTATTTTTTTTTACAAATGGAATTGCTATGACATAAATTTATTCTAACAAAATGGAAATTCTGTCAAATCAATGTCTTCTCTACTTCCTCCACTATTCCTGAATAATCATAAAAAACAAAACAAAATGTCTTGAAATTCGGCCAAGTCATGTCATGGTTTATTGTTAAAGGGGTATTCCAATAAAAAAGTTCTGGTGTTTGGCTTTATAATGGCTCGATATTTTAGAGATGTTTTAGAATACGTAGGAGACATATTTCTCTACAAAAAAGGCTTAGTTGTTTATTTTACTCAAATTCTTACAGTATTTTTTTAACAGCTTCCACAAGCATAACCAAATTAAAAACCATATATGTAATGTTTTTAAAATACCTTTGGCGCTTAAAATTAACAGCACCATGGAGAGGGGCAACGCTATGCAGGATGAAATGAGGCAAATTTTAACCTTTTTTTCGATTTCCAACTGTCTAGGGATCTTTAATGTGCACACGTGGCCTGAATTAATGTCCCATATGAACGACTAGAAACTTTTTCCATGGCAGTCCCTCTTACCTGCATCACTGACAGAGGGATTTTCAGGGACATTTCATTTTACCCTGTGGCCAACAAATTAACGTTATTTATACATCAGCTATTTTAAATCGAGAATGAGGCTCATAATGCAAACAATAAAAGTTAATTTAGTGTCAGTCAGAAAATCATAACCTTTATTTCTCATGTCTCCTTCTCCAATCCCACTAAATCAAAACGAATCATATTTTACATTAACATTTACACTAATGTCAGAATTGATTAAGCTATTTAGTGATACTTTCACACATTTCAGAGAAAAGGCAGTTTTTTTGCCCATTTCTTTCGTGTTTATCAGGTGTTTAATCAAGTCGTATATAGACCATTCCTTCATGATGTCGCCATATTTTTATTGTAATTTGCGTTATGAGGTGGGCATTCGATGATATGCACGATAATATGATATATTGATAGTTTTAAAACCTTTTAACACAAAAAGAAACAGAATATGCAGAGATCTGTCTTTTTAAGAGTGCTAAGAACTTGATATTAACCTAATGGAGATAATCAATCAACTGTTGAACAATATTCTTTTCTTGTCACATGACACATAATATGCAAAACTTTCACTTTTCAATAACACAATTTACAACAATATACTTTACTTTGGTTCTGACGAATTAGGCAGAGGTAGTGTCAAACTTCACAATTCTCTAGTTTTGGAAAAACTCAACTACAAACAAGTAGCAAACAAATTTAGTTTATTTTCTTAGCATCATGACTAATATGAACCGATTTACACAGACCTGTGACGGCACACGAATAGTTTTTTTCGCTCATTTTTGTTGCAGACACAAATTTTGAGTAAACTTTCACAAGTGTCCGCACTTCCACTGTTCCTTGTCAAAGGACACTTGTCCCCTAGCAACAAGAGATACTGCACATCACAATTCCATAATTCTACAACTTTTAAATTGTACAGACCGGCCAGTACTTCAAAAAGATGACATTCATAATTCTAATTTAACAAAAAGTTTTACTTAACAAATAAGCTTATATGAAACATGTACAGTAGTCATCTTTTTTCAAACAAAGCAGAGTGTTTGAGATATATATCAGTTGGTAAGAGGTCAATATTTAGGCGATGTCCTATATAAGCTTAACCTTATAATCTTGTACCTGTATAGTTTCCTATGGATCAAAAATTTTGGTCTATTTTCTTGGAAAGTTGAAAAATGGCACATATTGTTAAAATCTAGAATTAAAAGGTTGACTCACCTTTTAAAAAAACCTCTAATTAATTCAAATCTTCGTTAATACTGATCACTATCAGGTGTTCTACAACTACCATTTTTATTACTGCTGCTACCAGTGTCATCTTCACTTGTGTCCATGGGAAAATCTAACTCAGACTCAGTGTGATCTTGACCTAGAGGGTTCGTCGTTGTGACGATTGAGGAAGAGTCAGGAGAGGGGTTCATACTGTTACTACTATTACTAGCTGATAATGTTAGTTCTATATTACACTGTCCCAAGTTTGGTTTATTTTCAATATTTACAGTTAAAACTTCCTCTCCTACATCACACATATCAATATCACTAGGATCACTTCTAACATTGTCCTTATTGGATTGTCCTAAAGTACTTGGCGTGTCTGGAAACGTCGCCCAATTTTCCTCCTCTCCTGTAGCTAATGGAGAGATGGCATGAGTTGGAGATCGAATATAAACATACTTTGTGGATCCCTGGTTTTCTAATTTTAGCTTGGATGCAGGAGAAATCTTTGGGGAAGTAGCTGGTGATATATTAGGTGGTATTAAAACTCTTTTTGGAGATACCGGTAGATGTCCAGCTTGATCAACAACTAAAGCAGATTTACTACGACTAAATAGCAGTTCCTCATTAAAATCACTCTCAGAGTCTTTTCTAGTTGATTTTCGAGGAGTTTTTGGTTTAGGTGTAAACTCATCAGCAGGCAACACTATCTTAAGTTTCTCAGTAGTGGGTGAAAATTCTGGGGAACTTGCTATATATTCATCTAAAGTAACTACATTAATAGGCGTTGTACTACGAGGTCTAGCTATAGGAGAAGTCGTCACTTGAAGACGTTGTAGACGCTTTTCATACGCTTTACGCTTCGAAGGTGATTTAATTTGACTAGGATCTAAAAGAATTGGCGATAAATTCACTGGGTCCACGCTCTTGTCTTGAAGGTCTTTTCCATCAATATTATTCGATGCATTTTTCTTATGGCGAGTCTGTATATTTTCAAAAGTAAAAACATCAGAATCGGAATCAGAGCTTGAAGAATTTGAACGTTTCTTCTTGAACTTGTCAGAAATATTGGCGTCGAGCTTTAGAACAATAGCTGGTTCAGCCACAACGGAAGGTCTTGTTCGTTCAATGATGTTAATTTCGGTATTTAATCTCTCTCTTAAAACTTGCTTCTTCAGTCTGTCAGTTGAAATGAACTCCACTGGTTCGTTGGTAGGTGTACTTGTTCCGCTGTCACTTTCAGAATACTGGGAATTACCAGGACAGTCAGAGTTATGATCAAAACTACTATTTTCACCTGTGGAATCAAAACTATCACGACTAGATTGGCTGCAGGTAGTGGGGAACGATCTATCACTCAGAGAAGAATGTTGAACATGGATACTTGAATCATCATCTGAGCCTAGATCAATGGTGTCAAAGGTCGCAAGTGGAGCTCTTACTATCTCGAACTTGAAGAAGTCCTTTTGACAACTGGAATATTTTTGCATAGCAGATCATCTGTAGTTGAATTAAATTGCAAATTATCTTTCTCTTCTCACAACTTCACATTCTGCAAAAAAAAAAAAAAAAAAAAAAAAAATAATGCAAACAAAAAATCCATCAAATTGATAAATCATTAATTTTGAGAACAAAAAAAAATCTATAAGCTTAACTGAATATATTCAAAATGGCAGGATTGGTGTGTCCTACATGATTACATGTACCACTTTTTTCTAGAATTTTACCATACTTTAATTACATTTTTTTTCAAAATTGAGTTTGGCATACATTAAGGAACACAATCAATCATCTCCTTATTTTCTCTTCCAGCTCATAGCCCTCTTCAGTTATGCATAACGCTTTCCAAAATAAAAATCTGAGGCCCATTTCCAATGCAATTAACTAAAAAAAAAGTAGACTACTATGGAAATTTAGACTCATGTCTCTATCAGCAGGTATAATTGTTAAAGTGAATATTTATACAGTTGTACCCCTTTCAGAATTGCAAAGACAAGCAAATTTCAAATTTTAACTTTAACGATATAACAAGATCTTTAAGTGAATAAATTCAATTAACGGTTATTTTGTTCTTAAAAAAAATACCACAGCCTATTAATTCATGTAACTGAAAGGTTATTTGACAACATCTTTGCTCAAGCATATTAAGACTTCGTTGTTAATAATACACCTAAAACAATACAATGTTCTTGCAATGGGACCTTTTGATTGAAGTTTACAGCATGATGCTTGTTTCGTTTCCACTCCAACTGCAAAGGCATTTCAAGTGCATACAGACACAAAACTGTGAGATTTTTCACAGAACTTTGAAGCCTTCAAGAAAATTGACACTCTAATTTGTTAAAAATTGCAAGAATTAAAAATCTAACCTTAAGAAAATGCATCATTGGCGTAAAGAGATGATGAAAGAGACAAGAAAACAGGAATAAAATGCATGAACTATAAGAAAGACGGTAGTTTGACAACTATAGGATGCTTTCAAACTAACCATGCGAAATCAGTAGCTCAAATATCGATCACCATGAATCAGTCAAGGAATGGGTAAGTTTCAGAAGAGTTATTTCCAGGCGTGCTGCTTGGAAAGGGTAAAGTTATTGATCAGTTCCAACTTCGCACTTGACAAGTCGGCCATGTTTGTTGTTTACGGAAGTGACGTAAAAGAGCTACCGTTTAATTTTTAGCCGCCACGGTGGTATTTGTCACCAAGGTAAAATAAACGCACCTGTCAAATATGACAATTAAATGTACAAGGGATAATAGGATTAAGAGTTCAAGATAATGGCGTGAAAATAGATAGAAGTTAATGTTTAGTAAAGGTTATCAGTTCAAAGGAGAGACCGACTGATTTCGATACTTAAATAGTCGGCGAGTTCTTGCTCAGAAATTAATTGCGGGACAAATTAGTATTCTTTCTAAAACTAAGGACATATGTAGCGGTATTTCTGCTGACTGTGCTAAACATAATATACAGGTATGCCATATTATATTATCTTAAATATCGTTCTGTATATCAGCACGTATTGAAACAAAAAATACATTGGAATATGAAGATCAAATAAATGTGAATAGGCCGACTATTTTAAAGATATATCAATATTTTAGGATACTCGCCAATGTAAAGCTGAGAAAAGATTTTAATTGTGTTTGAATATGTATCATAAAGCTTATTATATTGTCAAGAGACCATAGTCGACCTATTATCTATATACTAACGAGGCCTATAGTTCTATCAAATATTTCATTAAGATTATAAATAAACCTATATGGGACTTATATCGTCTTTATATCACATACACCAGAATAAGTTGTTTTAAAGAGACATTTTTCAAAACAATTGAAGAGCGGGATGAAGATATATTCTTGTTCAATTTCTTTTTAAAGGATGCGTCATTTTTTTTATTTTATCATACTTTAGTCTCAGAAGCGGGAATTTTATAGCTAACTCAAATCAATAATAGTGTTTATAGCTAAGCGTCGAAATTTGAGTCTTCAAATCCATGTGTGTCGAGAACTATCTGGATTGAATGTTAAAATGACGACTCGCCAACTTAAGATACTCTGTGATATATAGAAAAGATATATATAGAAATAATGAATAAAATTCCTGGCTAAGTTTTTCTAAAAGAATTTTGCTTTGTATTGTTATTTTTTATCGATGACTAGGTTTTTAAATATTTGTATACTTTTCTTCAGAAATCAAGAAATATATCAGAAGGAAGTACAAATATATTACAAGGAAATACAAAGATATTACAAGGAAATATATATACTAAGAAATTATTAGGATTTACAAATATATTACAAGGAAATACAAAGGTATTACAAGGAATAGGCCTACTAAGATATTACAAGGAAATACAAATATATTACAAGGAAATACAAAAATATTACAAGGAAATACAAATATATTGAAGAAGATTATACAAGGATATCACAAGGAAAGTCTACATACAAAGATTCAATAGAAAAATACAAAGATATCACAAAATAATACGAAGAGGAAACACAAAGATCTCAAAAGGAAATAAAAAAGATGTCAGCAAGGAGATCGCCAAGAAGACCAGAAAGTGCAAAACCACTGCAGAAGCCCAAAATTTCCAGAAAAGAAGAAGAGCTTACTAAAGAAAACCAAAGGCTGAAAGTTACCATTGACTACATGCAAGACGAAAACACTAAATTGAAAGAAAAATTGGAAAAAATCGCTGATAGATTAATAAATAATGTTGACAAATCAGAATATAATTTTAAAGTTTATAAATCACTATCCGATATCTCAGTGGAGGAATTTACCGCTATGATTTCCGATATAACATCAAAGAAAGAGAAAAAGGGGGAACATTACCTGGAAAGTCGGATTGAAGAAGTGGAAACCAGATTGACTCAAATGAGCGGAGAATTTGCTAAATTGATCCAGTTAAAGATGAGATTGGAAAATGGTTTAGAAGACATAGAAAACTGTTATTGTATTGAAACTACACGCCAAAAAGCCAGATCTTTGAAAACACACTCAGGTAAGCATTGATCTTTTTTTCTGACATTTTTCATCTGCTTTATATAATCTAAAACACGTTCCACTACAGTTACGTTCTAATGACGTTATTCTTAACCAACCAAAGCACGTCTTGCAGGACCCGTTTCTTGATAACGAGGACAAACTGTGGGATAGTATAACAAAAAAGTAGAGCAATATTATACAGCTTCTTTTGGTTTCCAGGTTCTCTGGAGAAACGCATTTTCAGTTAATACTTATGATAAGGGTCTTGAGAATCGCGATCAAATTTTTACCACAGATTAATAGTATATCCCAACAGTTTATTTGTTTATTATTTGCAGTCAAAGTGGAGACCACTCTGAATAATGATACGAATTGCTTATTGGGTGTCTTAAGAAATTCATATTGTACAGCAACATAATCCACATATCAAAAGATCTGATATCTGGCATCGCTTTTTCAGAAACGTCTTTTGCATTCTCTTATTTCCAGCAAACACCCAAATATTCATCCAACCACCAAAATATGAAGACCAAAACAAAACTAAACTAACGTTATTAGAGGAGATTCTCTCTGAAGAAACAGTTACAGAAGACGAAAACCCACTTGTTATCTCTCCATCTACCAACCGTCTTCCACAATCTGTTACCATGAACCTCGAACCAATACTTATGCCTCGGGTAAGCTAAAAGTTATGTTCAAGGTCCTAACTTCAGCATTTTACACACCCATGTCTCTTTTAGTACAACACAAGCCTATCGACCTCATTTTGTTTGACAATGGGTGTTCTCGAGTACTTTTCTGGAACTATCGCACCATCCCCTCTACTCCAAAATCCCAAGACAATATCGCATTAGGGGGAACGTGGTAGAGCCGAGTACCTTACCTAATGATATTATGATACATGTAATAGATATCTACTTCAACAGAGGCGATAGCGACATCTTAGGACCTTCTTTAAGGGGATTATAATTATGAGGTGGTATACCTTGTGTCAAACTAAGTGCCAGTGCTCTTTTAGCGCAGCTGCAGACACCTCTCGGATGGATGAAGCTAAAATAAATTCATTTTTCTTTTTCTATAGAAATTTGTGAAGTTGCCTGCTGATACTCATGTAAAAGATATTCTACCAGAATTAAAACAACTGATTATACAAACCCTGAGTTTACAGAAAGGAAATGGTAAGTGTAGTGATTTAAACGACATACATGATTTATTTAGTTGCTTGAAGATCTACCTCAAATTAATCATTGCTTCAAAAATAGTTTCTCAGATGTTGGGAGAGACATAGCATTACTGATTTAGAAGAAGTACCTTTGCACTTTTTAGTTTTATATACATCCATAGTTTGCTTTCAATGTAGTGCTGTCCAATACTCCAAAGAAAGCGTGTAGGGCGTTGTTGGTACATTTATGATGGTATCAGTGCTTTGTTATCTCGCTAGCGTAGTTATTGCTGACGAAAGGTCGACCATATGCCACGGTGTCCTTTCATTATGGACCATCACCAGAAACTGTCAAATAATCTATAAGATGCTTCCCGTGAACCAGTTTTGTACTATGATGATGTAGCTTAGACACTGTGTCCATTTAAAATTTTAAAACTTTTTTTTAAATCGAACTTACAGGAAGTGATTGGAGAATGTTCGCTGAAAGGATTGGATTATCAGAAACACTCATCAACCAATGGAAACTCATGAAACTGAATCAACCAATGAGAAACGTGCTCAATGTGTGGAGTAACAGCCCTGGTGCAACTGTCAGACTTTTACATCGTCATTTAGTGTCCCCACAATTAAAATCTGTCATGTTAGCTAAAAGGGTTACGGAGTACTACAACGTTGACTGAGATTTTGAGGACGGACGGTTTCACTTTGACCTGAAAATCTGAGTTATGCACGTGCAATGGTCGGTACTTCCGGTGAATGACCTAAATCTGACGTTGAGTCATTTTAGTGTGACATTATGGGGATTTCCACCCTTTATTGGTTTTGTGTTTCAGCACCTGTAATGCTGACGAAGCTTGAAGGTCAAGATTTTTTTTAGCAGAAAAACTTAGATAAGAAAATGCTAGAAATAATGTCTGTTTATAGGACTTGTACTACGTTGGAGATTGCAGGTCTTCACTTGCGCGTGATTGACCTACAATTACTTTTAAACTGGCTTTTCGCAATAACAAACAACGCTATTTTGTTTTAGCCTGCTTTGCAAATCTGGAAATTGTTGTTTTGTTTATTTCTTCTGGATGATGGCAAGTGAAGCTCAGAGCAAAATATAGATATATATATTTTGTGGAAAAAGATTTGATGAAGTGTCTCTAGATGGATTGTCTCTGCGTTGTCTCATATTTTGCCATTTTGTAATTATTATTCTTTATATAGAATTTTCTTGTACAGTGCTGTTATTCATTTTGTTAAAATGAAATACTAATTATACATGGTCATATATTTTATTAAAGAATAATCCTTAAAGGGATACGATCGTTTACATATTTATTACTTTAGTTCAATTCTTGCTATCCATCGAGGCCCTCAGTGGCACTAGTCATGGTGGGGGACACGGGGCCTCTCCATGAAAATTTAACGTGGGAAGTCGAAGAATAGGCCTACATCTAAAGCAATTTTGGAAGAATAATTTTTTCATTTTTTATGGCCCGATGGACTGGGGGCATGGTCCAAAAATTACCGCCTAAATACCTCACTGGGGGCCCTGTTCATTTTACAATGAACATCCGACGCCCAGAATTAATTTCAATAAAGTGAGCCGGGAGAAGTGACGATATTTAAGATGAACAGCCCCTGCCCCTCCCATCTTTCCTTCACAAAGATATACAGATATGCTTATCAAAGGTTAAGGTTGGAAAAAGATTTATACTAAAAATCTTAGTTTACATAACTGTGTCGACGAGCAAAACCTAACTGGACAACTAAATCCAATCGAAATTCAAATATAACCCCAGCTAGTAATTCTCATCTGGCTCTGATATGGCCCGGATCTGGCATGAGCTTAATGTCATATCTGACCCAGTCCTGGAAACCGGGCGTGCTCATGTGAGTTGGCCTGAGCCAGATCTGGCAAACAGATCTGGGCCAGGCCTGGAAACCAAATCTGAACCAGACCTGGAGAGCGCGCCCGATCCAGATCTGGCACAAATCTGGCATGAGCATTAAGTCAGATCTGTCCTTGGCCTGAAAACCAGATCTGAGCCAGGCCGGGGATGCTCGCACGAGTTGGCCTTAGCCAGATCTGACTCAAGACTGGCACACAGTTCTAGTAATACTTTTTCAGATCTGGCCTAGATCTGGCATGAGCATTAAGTCAGATCTAACCCAGATCCGAACAAAACCTGGGGTGCTCACACGAGTTGACCTAAACCAGATCTGGCTCAAGACTGGCACATAGATCTAGTAACACTTTTCCAGATATGACCCAGTACTGTCCGCGATTAAAATATTTTTCTGCAAGGTCTGACTGAAAATTGGAATGCTGCAAATTGATGCTATCAGTGTCCCCGATACACACACAAAATTGGGAAAACCTATTTACAATCTCTTTAATATGATCTAACTAGGCCTAGGCTACTTCCTATCAGTTTTTAGTTATTTTTAAATCGTGGTCAAGATACGAATATATATAGGCTAGTCGGAAACTAAAGGTGATAACGTACGTAGACCCCAGAATATATCAAAATTGTTATCATAGCTAATCTTATGTAGGTTTCCAATACGAATAGTTAAGTAAGTCAGTCATTTCTGCATTTATTTTTTCTAGGCCTAGGCCTAACTTACAACCTAAAATTCCAAATTTCTTGACCAAGGCAGGGCTATATGTTTAAAAACTTTTTACTCCTACTTTTATTTGTAGGCTAGGTTAATTTCAATTTTTAGACAATAGTCTGTTCAGTAGTTCTTGCAATCATCACTTAGTTTTATTGGAGTGCTAGAACTTCAGATGTCTGACTAAAAATTTAGAATAGTGAAAATCGATGCCATATCAGTGCCTCCTGATAGCCTACACCAAAGAAGTTAAGGACCTTTACACTTCTTGTAATGTAAGTGTCTTTAAATTTACGTCATTTTTGGTTATCTGGAAGTTGTCAACACAACAACACTAACATCTTCCGTCTTCGGACATATAGTGTACGTGTTTCACCGGAAAGGAAGACTAGTGCCGTTAAACAATATAGAACTTAAAGAAAATTTGATGTGGTCTGAAGCATCTTCGAAACGTCATACAGTCGCTGCCCTTTAACTCATTGAGCATCTCAACATGGCGAAAATGTAAACAGACGAGAGGGAGGGAAGTATTGATCAACTGCTGATTCGTGACATTTTAAACGGTATTTTGATGCATTCGATTTTCGTTTTCTTGAGGTTTTGTATGTTCTTTCTGTCTCATTTGATTATCTAAAATGAACGAAATTGTAGAATTTTTTATTGATTTGCAGCTTCCTTCTTTGCAGAAGCACTCTTTCCAGATTCCAGGCATTGTTTTCATATTGAAGCAGAATGACTGCAGTTTGACAGCGCAGTGCTGTAAAAGTGAATCCAAGCCAAGGACAAAGGTGTAAATTTCATGGTCACTTTCTTATCTGATATAGAGACTCTAGTAGATCTAGCTCTTTACTTTTTATGAAAATCATAAAGCTTAAGCATATTATTTAAGCTATAGGCTAATTATATTGAAAGCATAAAACTAGATCTGTACAAGATCAGAGTGAGAGTAGGCTATGCTTAAGCCTAAGCTCAGACAAAGCCAAAAATGCAAATGAAAGGCGGCTCAGAGAGTGAGAGGTTAAAGTCTTGCCCCCAAAAATCCCTTTAATGATGTTATTATTATTTTTTTTTGATGTGCTAGCTAGCACTGCTTTATGATTTTAAAGGGGCAGTTAGCATGAAATATTCAAAATTTTCATATCAAAAAATGTTGTATAAGCTGAAGCTTAAATGTGTTAAATATATCTAATAGGCCTCTTCTAGCTTCTTAAGCTTATAGATGCTATTTGCATAAATAGATTTACTTGATCACGTTGAATTTTTTTTAAAAGGGTTACTGGTACAGTATAATTAAAGTAGAGTGTAGCCTACTATTAGTACTAACTAATTTTATGTTGAATTGTTGGGCCTCATATTAAATGCTCAATATCTTTAGTTGAAAACATTTGAATAAGTATGAGACATATTTCTTTACCATTAGGTGTTTATTTTGCTTAAATCAGTATATACAGTAATTTTCTAACATCTACCAAAAAGCATACCATAACGAACATTGGAATGTCCCGATTCAATATGAACTTCATTAGTAAAACTTGATTTACCAAAGTAACAGTTTGGATGAAATATTTATCAAAGATGGAATATGTTGATTAAAAGGTTCAATGTCTAAGCTTATTTAATATTTATTACAAAATTATAATAAGCTTATATAAGTAGGTAATAGATATTATAAACTTATTGATGTAGGCTTGTTATATGTAAAGTTTACATGTAAGCTAATAGTTTACATATTATTTTGATATTCATACTTCTGTAAAATAATAGCATTATAAGCTTACTGATTTAATTTGCCATGCATTTATTGAATATAAACCTACGAAAAGTTTCATAACATTTCATTTATTTCTGATTTTGGATGGAAAAATTTGATTTGATAAGTAATTTATCACATCAAGTTTCAGTTTCGGCTTATCAAGTTAAAGTTTTTTTTTTCGCATTTCAAGAACAATTGATAGCAATTTTAAACGTTCTTGTTGTAGAGTTTATATCGATCTTGCCAATGATGTTATTCCTTAAGGTTATAGAAAGTTACCGTATAATTCTAGATTTGCCCAGAAAAATTTCACGTAAAATAATGGATCGCTAAAGGTCAGGTCAATATTTTATGCGATACTGCTTAAAGTGATACTACATCTTAGAATGAACATAAAATGTAGGTCAATATGAGTATATATTCATCAGTTAGCTTACCTGGTGTCAGAAGTTTCAACAGAACAAAGTACCAGTAATTTTTTAAAAACACTTAATCATAATATTAAGCGTTTTTCAATAGTTAATTGCACATTTAGTTTTTTGGATTTATCGGATTATATAAGGATCCTGTTATGTTATTTATGACACCAGGTATATCTACTGGCTCTTATTTGCCAAGTTTAAAATTCTTCAATTTTATGTTAATTCTAAGAAGTATCACTTTAAAATGAACCCTGTTTTGCTGTTTAAGGCTTGTCATGTCCAAAGTTAAAAAGGCAAAACTGCTAGCCTCTTTAAATAAAATCAGACAACTGAATGTAGGGCTGCTATAAAAGCCTGGTGCCTCAGATATCTGATATTGATGCCAAATGTTTGAAATCTTTCGTTCCGTTTGTTTGGTCTATTTTGTAATAAACTAGAAATTTTGCATGAGAATTCAACATTTCACCCCCATAAATTTTTTGACTTGGAACCACCCTGCATAACAAAGCAAAAATATCCTAATATAAGGCATAGCATGGCATATGGATGAGGACAAAGTTTGTCTAGTACAAGCAATGACCAAAAATACAAACAAGATTAATAATTAACTCCATAGTGGTTTTTATACTCCGGTCAATAATTATTTCTTTTCTTTTCTAGAGAGTGGATCAATAACAGCTTGATAATTGACTATACAGAGAATCAGAGATTATACAGATCTAGTTATACTTAAACTATTTAAATTCTTCAAGACTGTTTTGTGTTCTAGGACTGTCAGGAATCGGAATAATTCTAAGAACCAATAGAAGTAATGAAGACATACTTTATAGTTTGAATATTTAAATGATCATATCATAATAGACTACCACACATGTGATATTGAAATTGTGGGACTTTGAAACTGTACGATATTGAAATCGGGTAACATTGAAACTGTACAATATTGAAATCGTGTTACATTGAAACTGTACAATATTGAAATCGTGTTACATTGAAACTGTACGATATTCAAATCGTGTGACATTGAAACTGTACGATATTGAAATCGCGTGACATTGGAACTGTACGATATTGAAATCGTGTTACATTGAAACTGTACGATATTGAAATCGGGTGACATTGAAACTGTACGATATTGAAATCGTGTGACATTGAAACTGTACGATATTGAAATCGTGTTACATTGAAACTGTACAATATTGAAATCGAGTTACATTGAAACTGTACGATATTGAAATTGTGTGACATTGAAATCAAGTGATGTTAAATTCGTGTGATATTGGAATTGTGGGTTATTGAAATCTTACAATAGAACTGTACGATATTGAAAGTGTGCGATATTTAGTCTGTGCGATATTGAGTTTGTGCGAAATTGAATCTGTACGATATTGAAAGCGTGCGATATTTAGTTTGTGCGATATTTAATTCAGAAGAATATCCTGCCATCAATATGCGTTCAATACTTAAAGGACTAACCTTTATGGCACTGTCGTTTTTGACAAGTTTTTTTGGAGCTCTTGTCATCCTGTTACCATTGTTGCCTCTGATGATTTTTCCTGTAACAGAAAAGTTTGGAAAATGGGTAGCGGATAAATTCATATTTTTGTGGAAATTATTTGCAGTGGTAAGTTTTGATGCTCAGCTATATATATAAGCTTACATAAATTTACCCCAAAAAGAAGTAACATGGATGTATCTTGCCATTGGAGCATCACCCCTGATCATTTGTCATTTTGTTTGTTTGCTTGTTTGCTATTTTTTGACAAGTTTTTTTGGAGCTCTTGTCATCCTGTTACCATTGTTGCCTCTGATGATTTTTCCTGTAACAGAAAAGTTTGGAAAATGGGTAGCGGATAAATTCATATTTTTGTGGAAATTATTTGCAGTGGTAAGTTTTGATGCTCAGCTATATATATAAGCTTACATAAATTTACCCCAAAAAGAAGTAACATGGATGTATCTTGCCATTGGAGCATCACCCCTGATCATTTGTCATTTTGTTTGTTTGCTTGTTTGCTATTTTGTCAGAACTTTATAAAATTGTGTGAAGGATTAAAGGGACAGATGTGCTATTTTTGGGGATTTTAGTCTTGAATATATGTAAATAGTCTTCAGAAGAACTTGAAATGTACAAAAATCACATTTCTTCAAAAATACTTCAAACTAGGAATTTTACTCACTATTTCTATAAGCTTATATGTCTTTTCTATACGAGTCGTCATTTTAACATTCAAATGCAGATAATTCTGTACAGATATGGATTTGGAGGCTCAAAGTTTGACTGTGAGCTGTGGACGCTATTATTTAGCTCAGCTAAAAAATTCCAGTTTCTGAGACTAAAGTATGATTGGTCAAAAAAATGGCCTACCTGTCCCTTTAAATCAGAAAATTAGTAACAATATTATTGATACAGACAAATTTTATCACTAAATCACTCTTGATCAGAAAAGATCTTAGTGACAGAGAAATCATCAATGGTTTTGACTTTTTGTTATGAGAATAAAAAATAAATAGATCTATATAAATTGATTGGTAGTCTGCCATCAATAATTGATCTCAATTTGCTAATTGATCCCTACCCTAATCAAAACCAGTGTTTGTTTCTTACCTTGAAATCAATTTGACATCAGGGGCATACAAAATTATAAAAATTGAGCATATGAGTCATGAATTCACAATCCTTAAAATTTTTGTAACAAATGTCGAGTTGGCAAAAAAAAACTAATTAACAAAGAGCCACCATTAATGTTTCAGATGAAATAGAGTAATGTAATTTCTTCTCACCTGGGTCGGATTCAAAATATAAACACAGTCAGTCAACTTAATTTTTAAGAAGTGGTGAATTCCACCATAACTTAAGCCACTAGGACATTTTCAGAATACCAAAATCTTCTGAATTATAAACAACTCATCACAGTTATTTTTTTTACTGTTTGACCTTTCCATAGAATTGAATAAATAGTAATTGATGCTAAGCTTATTCATACTAATCTTATATTCTGTTGATTATCACTTACCGGTAATAAGTAACCAAAAAATAAAATGGAGTGTCTATATTCTGAAGGTGACCTGGATGAGAGGAAATATTTTTCGACTTCATATGCCATTGATTGTGGTTGTTTTTTTTTTTAACAAAATAGCTCAAAAGAGAAGATATTCCGATGTCATTGCTGAACACAACTTTTGACAAAAATTGAACCATTTTAGAGCTGTAGATTTAAGTATTAGCTTAAATTAGGTCTTACCTGATCACTGTGTCAATCCCTTTTGTAACCTGGAAGTCATACTTAAAATTGTTCGTAGCAGTTCATTGAACTCCATTGTGATTCCATTATGTTAGATATTCCAATAAGTTTAAATACCTGAATTACTATCCCTTATAATATATGAAACTATTTGAGTAAAGACAAAGCTTATAAGCTTACATCTCTTGCCTTTCATACACATATAATAAAAAATAGCAATTTCTCAGAGAATGACTATAGGACAGAAGAGCCTACAATATAGTAAATGATTATATGACCTAAGCTGTTATTTTTAAGGGCCGTTCATGCAATAGTTAACATAATTGATCATTTTAGGAGTGACTAACTGGCAATTTGATATTCCTATCTAGTCCTGAATGCCTGACAATGCAGAAATCACAACAAGTTGTTTTTAAGACGTCTTGGGTCAAAAAATAAGAAGTGCTTTATTAAAGAAAGACATTAAACTCAATATCAATAATTTCAAGAAATTTTTATTTTCACTTTTTAAATGCAAGAGAAGACTTAAAGTGGGAGTATGTTATGTTTCTATTTCAGACTATATATGAACATGAAATTTATGTGATGCTATGTTTTATATATATCAGACTATATGAACATGAAATACATGTGATGCTATGTTTTATATTTCAGGCCATGTATGAACATGAAATGTATGTGATGCTATGTTTTATATTTCAGGCCATGTATGAAAATGAAATGTATGTGATGCTATGTTTTATATTTCAGGCCATGCATGAACATGAAATTTATGTGATGCTATGTTTATATATCAGGCTCTGTCAACATGAAATGCATGTGATGCTATGTTTTATATTTCAGGTCATGTATGAACATGAAATTGTGATGCTCTGTTTTATATTTCAGGTCATGTATGAACATGAAATGTATGTGATGCTATGTTTTATATATCAGGCTATATGAACATGAAATTGTGATGCTATCTTTTATATTTCAGGTCATGTATGAAAATGAAATGTATGTGATGCTATTTCAGGGCATGTATGAACATGAAATGTATGTGATGCTATGTTTTATATATATCAGACTATATGAACATGAAATGTATGTGATGCTATGTTTTATATATATCAGACTATATGAACATGAAATACATATGATGCTATGGTTTATATTTCAGGCTATGTATGAACATGAAATGTATGTGATGTTAAGTTTTATATATATTAGACTATATGAACATGAAATACATGTGATGCTATGTTTTATATATATCAGACTATATGAACATGAAATGTATGTGATGCTATGTTTTATATATATCAGACTATATGAACATGAAATACATGTGATGCTATGGTTTATATTTCAGGCTATGTATGAACATGAAATGTATGTGATGTTAAGTTTTATATATATTAGACTATATGAACATGAAATACATGTGATGCTATGTTTTATATTTCAGGCTATGTATGAAGTATGTATTGGTATTAAGGTTATTATACAAGGTGAAGACAATCCTCACTGCTCTAATGGTAACCTGATTATATTAAATCATCGGACCAGATTAGATTGGTTATTTCTGATGTCCTACCAAATACGTTATGCATCATTACAACAATTTGTTATTTCTCTTAAAGCTCCATTAAAATACATTCCTGGGCCAGGTAATTTGTTTTTTTATATTTTCATCCTCAAATATTAAAATCTGATGACATTGGTGTAACAACTTAAGAACATGGAGATCCTGTCTGCCAGCTGGTCCTTGGGCAAAAAGAGATAGAAAGAATCAATTTTTACAAGGCTAATATCTGAAGTTATTTGGGATCCTTGCCTCTTACTCCGAAACGATCTTACAAGGGATTACAAGGTTCTTATCTTCTGACATTGAATCTAGGACATCCTAGTGCTAAGATCGTTTCGAGAATACATGGCCAGGACTCTTATTCTCGGAACGATCTTAGCGCTAGAATGTCTTAGGTTCTTAACTTCTAACACTGTTTGTAGACTATCCTAGCGCTAGGATGGTTACGAGAATACGTACCCTGTCTACCAACTGGTCCTTGACGAAACCTATTGGCATTGTAATTCTAAAAACACCTGTTAAGTACACATTATGACATCATGGAATGGAAAAAGACAAAGAAAAAGAAATGATTTTTTGAACTTGGATAATAACTTGGATCCTTTCTACCAGCTGGTCCTTGGTCAAACCTAACCAGCTGGACTGATTAAGACTTATTTCACAAATTAAACTGTCCTTGATCCTTACAACTGATGGATAACAAAATTTAAATGTGTTGAGTAATCAAGTATCTGTTTAAACCACAATGAATATATTGAGAACCGCAATTTTAAAGTTGAACAGTTTTTTTTTTCAATACCAAACTCCAAAGCAAGTGGAACTGATAAAAGTTTTGAATTATAATCAGACAAATATTTTTTGACTTACTACCCTTGGACTTTAATGGAATTTTATGCTTTCAATTGATTTTATAATATTTCAAGTGCTTGGCAAATTATTTTAGATTGTCTACATGACACAACAATGTATATCATGTCTTCCAGGTTGGGCTATGCAATGTGGGGCGTTTTTATTTCTACAACGAAAATGGGAGTTAGATAGGTTATGGATGACTAAATGTATCCAGTATTTTCAACGAATTGATTACAAACCTCAGGTAATCACATATTTCTTTATGAACAAAACCCAGACTCCTTTTGTCCTCTACGTGCAGGCATATACACATCTGTTTTTATACGCCCACATTATAATGGGTTCGTATATTGTCGTCACCCCTGTCCATCGTTCCGTCCGTTCGTCCACAATTGGCTTGTGAACGCAATAGAGACAACAGTTTTTATCTGATTTGAATGAAATTTGGTGTGGTCATGTATATTAATGAGATCTTGGACAAGTTCGAATTTGATGATCTTTTGATGAACGGTTTTTGAGTTATTGCCCTTAACTTAATTAAAAAGGGCATCAAAATTTTTTGGCTTGTTTACGCAATAGAGGTGACAGTTTATGTCAGAATTTTATTAAATAATGTGTGTTTGTTTAAATCAACAATATCTTGCACAAATGAGATTTTTGGTATGATTTGACACCGATAGGTGACTGCCCTTGATATACTGAAAATGTATGAGGAAAATGGGTGCTAGGCAACCACTTGTTAACAATTTTTTGGAGTGTACATTTCTTGGTTCACTGATGGACTTCACAGCTGGATTAAATTAAGATTTCTGCCAATGTCTGTTGCTGATCACAAGAAGAATGAACCTTTACCTTTTAAATGAAATAAATGAAGTCCTACTTTTTTAGGAAATTCTAGCAAGCTTGTTTGATTTTTGTTTCAGTTATTAATCTTCCCAGAAGGTACAGATTTTACTGATTATGCTAAAGCTAGAAGTGATGCCTATGCTGAAAAAATGGCAGTAAAGAAATATTCTTATGTTTTACATCCTCGAACAACAGGCTTCGTTCACCTAGTCACTGAAATGAAAAAAAGTATGTATCTGGTTTGTTATCAGTGGCAGAGCCAGGTTTATGTTCGAGAGGGAGCGAGATATCTAAAATTGCCCGAATCTGTAACCTAGTTATGAGATTTTTGCCTGAAAAACTTGCTTTCAGGGCTGCGAGGTGGGCTGCCTGCCACTGGTTGTCATCATCACAAGGAATTTTTCAAGGAAAAGAGTTTTTGAAATTCACAATCTTCGACTGGATTTGTCAACAAATTATAGTATATTTTTGGTATTCTTCATTCCAGGAACCTTTGTACAGGTTCAATTTAGATCAAAATATTTTATTAGCAATTTATCACACTCAATTTTAGTTTGGGCTAATCAAGGTAAATTTTTATTAGCATTTCTTAAAAATTTGGTAGTGATTTTAATTGTTCCAGTAGTAAACCTTCAAATATATCTTGCCTATGACTTTAGTTCCCTCTATTAAAGAGTTGTCTTATATTTCTGTATTTGGCTAAAAATTCTCATAAGAATTATACAGTTTTATCTGATTCATAGATTGTTGCGATAAATTTCTAAGGAAATATTGGATCGCAAAAGGGGTCATTTTGAATCGGAAACTGCTATGCGATACTACATGAATTGAACCCTGCTTTACAAGCCCTTTAAGTTCATCCAAATCATTGTAACTTTTTCTTTGCAGGCAATTGTTTGGATGCGTTAGTTGATGTAACCGTGGGTTACCCTAAATTCATCCTCCATGATGAAAGGGACATAATATACGGACAATTTCCAGAAGAAATTCATTTCTTTGTGCAGACATACAACATATCAGATCTTCCAAGTGATTCTGAAAGTATAGCAGAATGGTGCCAAAAACGGTGGGCAGAAAAAGAGAAACGCCTGGAAGAGTATTATACGTGTAATAAGAAATCATTCCCATGTGAAAACAATAAGTTACATTGTGATGAAGGGACCATTAGAATCTATTTATATCTCTCCTTAGCCTTTTGGTTATCATTCCTGATATTGGTATTATTTTCATTAGTATATGTATGGTATTTTAAATGGTATTGTGTTTTAGCAATCTGTATATTTTCTTGTATACAGTTTTTTAAAGGCGGTGTTGATGATATATTGTTTTCTTCCTCATGAAATATAGCATAGCATAGCATAGATCAAATTAGCATCAAAACATGTAATCAGAGATTGACAATATGGACTTTGGGACACATCAACCGCCATATTGGAACTCAGGACAGCCCTTTTGAACCTTTGTCAAAGTAACCTTTTGATCAAAACCAGCACTGATGAGGGTAGAAATTTGATTGGTTAAAGCAGACATCGAAAGGTTAATTTGATGAACGTTCAAGAGGGCTGTCGTTAGACCCTAACTGAAGTGGCTATATCAAAATAAAAGCTAATAAAAAACGGAAAGAAAGATTGGTCTAATGTTATTGAGACTGCTCTATTGCTGGACTCCAGAAGGTTGGTTTAAAATAATGCTATAATGCCAAGAATTTTACAATGTTGTTTTAGAATTCCAACATTTTATTCACAGCAATAAAAACTTGATGCCAAGGGCAAGTAACAAAGATGGCCTATTTAGATTTCTTCATGAAATGTTTTTTTTAGAATTTTATATGTTTCTTCTTATACATTAATTAAACTTGACTGATTATTTTAAAGTTTTTTGGATCGTTAGTTTAAAATTAGTTATGCTTTTCGGATTGTAAAGTGGTTGTTTAAAATTTTATGTGTATCAAGGACCCTTAATAGCATCTATTTACATCATTCCAGTCTGTTGTTTCTGCAATTCCATTAAAACTAAGCATCTTTATCACAGAATCTGCTTATAAATAATAAGATATAGTCACGTTATACTAGGCCTAATTTTAGTGGAATAGCAGGAATCACAGACGTCTGATTCAAAATTTGAATGGTGCAAATCTATGCTAACAGTATCCCCAATACACATAAAAAGTTTTTATAACAACCTCTCTACTATAAAATTGCATTAATGTTGGTTTAAATGTTTCAAAATTTGTTAATATTAAATGAAAATAGAAAAAAAAATTTCTATTGACACTTCGTTAGTCTAAGAGTATCAGTGGTAATTGGGATTCCTGATGGAGATGTCGAAATCTGGACTTACAGGAACCACACTTGCATGTGTAGAATTTTACCCAAATCAGAGAAGTTTACATAGGCATCTTATTAGACATTTCATCTATTTATATTTTTTTCTTCAATGGTGGTTAGAATAGGTCTTAGAATAATGAATGTTAGAATTGTGCATGGGTAGAACTTTAAATACTTGCTCAAGGCTTAGTTGGTGCTCAAAACCAAAAATTAATATTGTTTGAATTTTTTGATATATGTTTTAGATCTTGTTTGTTTTGTTTTATTTCCTCCATTTTGTTATAGAATTTGAACATTAGAAATATTAAAACATATCTAAATAAATTTTTTAGAACTAGCTAAAGTGGTTTTTGTTGGTTGAAATGAATATCAGTTGTCTGTTTTTCCAAAATTGCTGTCAGTCCCGATTGTGATGGCTGATTAAGACTTATATTATAAAACTATACGCTTTGTACATAGGGTGGGCCTTCAGACCAATAATTTACAAAGGCTTTTTGTGGTCTGAAGTACAAGATCTATTAAGTTTGTTACCCCCCTTTACTGCACATTAAAGGGGAAACAGATTTCAAACACATGGCCAACAAGTGAACTGTTTGTTAACACACATCATCACGTTAAACATCCAAATTAGTAGATTATTGATAGTAAGTAGATTTCAAACACTACTCAGTAGGATGAACTGTTTATAAACACAACTCATGACGTAAAACATCTAAATTAGTAGATTATTGATAGTGAGTAGATTTCAAACACTACTGAGTAGGGTGAACTGTTTATAAACACAACTCATCACGTAAAACATCTAAATTAGTAGATTATTGATAGTGAGTAGATTTCAAACACTACTGAGTAGGGTGAACTGTTTATAAACACAACTCATCACATAAATCACTTAAATTAGTAGATTATTAATAGTGAGTAGATTGTAAACACTACTCAGTAGGGTGAACTGTTTATAAACACAACTCATCACGTAAAACATCTAAATTAGTAGATTATTGATAGTGAGTAGATTTCAAACACTACTGAGTAGGGTGAACTGTTTATAAACACAACTCATCACGTAAAACATCTAAATTAGTAGATTATTAATAGTGAGTAGATTTCAAACACTACTGAGTAGGGTGAACTGTTTTTAAACACAACTCATCACGTAAAACATCTAAATTAGTAGATTATTGATAGTGAGTAGATTTCAAACACTACTCAGTAGGTGAACTGTTTATAAACACAACTCATCACTTAAAACATCTAAATTAGTAGATGATTGATAGTGAGTAGATTTCAAACACTACTGAGTAGGGTGAACTGTTTATAAACACAACTCATCACGTAAAACATCTAAATTAGTAGATTATTGATAGTGAGTAGATTTCAAACACTACTCAGTAGGGTGAACTGTTTTTTTTAAACAACTCATCACTTGAAATGTACTTGATAGTGATTAATTTCCAGTTACTTGTGGTCTGAGTTATAACACTTTACATGCGTGTTACCTCCCCTACAAATGAAAAGGACGAAAGAACTTCCATTACAAAGACAGCTTCCTAAGTGTAAGCTGGAGCATGGGACAAGATCGCCTTTTCATACCAAGCCCTTCTCATAGCTAGATAACAGCTGATGGAACTGGATTAAAAAATATATCTCTATGACGTTTCAGAATGGAATTCAATGTCCTTCAACTTGTAGATCTCGACCATGTCCACTCAAATGTTAATACTCCCTACGACCCTTTCAAACAGAGTATACTTGTAACAACTTGTTTATAAGGTTGAAAGAGAAACCATTGTTAAAATATGTGTAAAAGATTAAAAACCATAATAATATTGTTTTAGAAACATGAGTTGTGAGTTTTGAGGAAGTACATTTTTCCTCCCTTCCGTTTTTACACCAGAATATGTTTTCAGAATTATAAACATATCTGTTCCTTCCTCAATCACGCATCGCGTCAGTGGCGGCGCCAGCCTCCCGAGACTTGGGCTACAATTAGGGGGCAGACTGACAAAATGAGGGGAACAATTGCTGTTGAGGATGAAATTCAAAATGTGGAGATGTCATAGTTGCCAGATTCATCGAGCGTCTGAAATGATTATTCCATGAAAATATTAGAACTGATTTGCTGACACATATTTTGGGGCGAAAACGTATAAAAATTATATTTCTTAATTTGTTAAAATTAAAGTTGGGGTACATTTGCAGGGGTGCAAACCAATCTTCTAGAGGGTCAAATCCGCCCTCTGTACTCCCACTGTTTCGCATTTGGTTGTTCAGAACTTGACTGTAATAAGGTAGTATATCATGTGTATTATCAAGTTAAAGAAATGTATTTTTGCAAAGGCAGGGACATACTGGCTCAGTTTACATCCATAGTTAGTATGCGTATTATACATAAGAGAGATGTGGGTTTCGGAGGTGGATGTATTCTAGCATTTGTTGAAGGAATTTACTGGTTTTAGAGGCATTTTTACGTGGGAGGGGCGGGGGTGGAGAATCATTGAGGAATGCCTGGTGCTGTTTGCACCCATTGGCCATTCTGTAACACCTACTTGACCTATCTACCTATTGATTCCTAGAAACTTCACTAACGGGACACGAATTGGAACTGAATGAATTTGTCACACAAATCAACGGAATGTATACCAAGCTGTCCACACAGTCCGTGGCTTATGCTTTCCTCTTTCTGGAACAATAGGCAGAGGTCGATGGTTGTCACAATATGCTTATAATGCAAGTCACCATACTTGATCTATATTAACACCTGGATTAAGTGTGAAATGAGTGTTTTGATTTGAATATTTTGATAAAATGTCTAAAAGGTTCCAATTACCAATTACCAGTTACGGACATTTTGGACTATTTAACCATGTGGAACCAATAAACTCGCGGTAATAATGTATATTGAGGTAAATGTCACTCGTGGTTTTTGGTTCAATGTAACTTTGAACTAAGAACATGACCTATGTGAAAACGAATTTCAAGACATTAGCGATGTGTACATTGAAGGAAATACCACGTATTTTTAGCTTATTTAGATGATAATTTCACCCATGTGGCGTCAACCGATTCAACAATACGGACATCTTAACAAATTCTGGATAATTTATGTCATTGATTTACTTTTCCTAACCATTTGAAACGCAAAGATTATCATTGTTAGGAGCATCGTATCCCTTAAAAGTATTTAAGCTATCTCCCGTATCCTAGAGCCTTTAAAATCGGAGTCCCTTAAATAACCCATTGTAAACAGCTCTATTATCCCACATATTCCCATGTAAAGAATGCACCATTCTGCTCAGTAACAACGATGTTTTAATAAAAATATTACAAATATAAACATCTATAATTTTTACTTTATAAAAATCATTTTCGATACCAATTGGTCTGTATGTGTTTGTATCAATTCTAAACAAATAGTTATCATCCCTTTTTGAGTGACGTTAACAGTGATTTCTTACTTCAACAATACAATTACAGATTCATAAAATATTGCAATCATCACAAGATGCTGTACAAGTTGTCTCTTGCCAGAAAAAAGCAACTTATAAACTTTTAGCATGTATGTCAACCATGACAATGCAATCGAAGAACTCCAAGGTATTCTGTTTTATCTTCGTTTCACAACGCAGGTCTCGACTATTTCACGGCTACGATACGTTCGTCTCAATCTTCGCTTTGCTAAAACATTACCACAACGTTCAAGATTCTACTACATCTCCACGAAGTACGCAACAACAACCAGACCTTCAATAATTGGTAAAAACGATTGCTGGTACGCCACATCTGGCCTGTCATGAGATCGTCACAACGTTCAGACGTTAAACAACTTCACAACCATCAGACCTCCACTAGGTCATCACAACGATCAGACCTTCACTAATTCTTCACAACGACCAGACCTTCGCTAGTTCTTCACAACGATCAGACCTCCACAAGTTCGTCACAACGATCAGACCATCACTAGTTCTTAACAACGACCAGATCTTCACTAGTTCGTCACAACGATCAGACCTTCAGTTGATCACAACGATCAGATCTTCACTAATTCGTCACAACGATCAGACCTTCACCAGTTCTTCACAACGATCAGACAGGATTTGAAAATATAACTATAAAAATATCACAGATATGCTTAAGATAATGGTTCGCACAGCTTCTTTCACGATGGTTTAAGGAATATATCTGTATTTTTATTCAGGGATAACTTTCCCACTCCATTCTTTAGGTGGACTATTTTTCGACCTGAAATTTGAGAAATAAAAATCAAATATAGGTGACGTAAGAAAGCCAAAGGGAAAGAGGGTCAATCACATCATTTATCAGCTGGTAAAGGTGCTTTTCACCACGAGCTGGTTTCTGGATGATGATCGTTCAGGAATATCTGTGCCTTTTTAGAACTAGAAGAAATCTCCTGATAATCGAAGTAATAAATTAACCACTGGGCTGATTTAGACCATAATATATAATCGGTCTAAAATTACAACTGTAGATTGAAATTTCAGTCAAGGAAGCTCTCGTTTCAGTGAAACGTTATTGAAACTCATGGAGCTTCATTGGTATCATATATCAGTTAAAAACACAAGACACATACCTGTCCATGTTAAAGAATTGGTCATCACAAAGCTTTTACATTCAGGATCTCGTGAACAGAGATCCTCTGCCTCCTTCCTATCAAACACAGAAACTGTGCAGCCTCCTCCAGACATCGAGTAGCGACATCTGTAGTCGTATTCACCTGGTAGATCACGACTACTATATTTTATATAATCTACAAAGAAATAAAATGACTGACAATGACATTCATTACAATTTGATCAGCACTTAAGGCACCAACAATGCTGATTTCGAAATCATCCAAAACCAGTTTTTAATTTTGGACATTTAACATGAAATTCTGGATTTAAGTACAGTAGTTATCCATACGGTATGTCAAAATGGAAATTGGACATGGAACAATCAGAATCGTTACTTCTAATGACTTTCTTGATTATTAGCTGCGATATGTCATTAAAACAGGTTTGCTTATTTTTAAGTTGCTCATCGTTATTTCAAAAGTACAATATACATATATGTCTATATATATAACAATATTTAATACTATTCAAAATACGTACCACTTTTCTTTTGCTCAACTGAAGATCTGTTTAAATATTTCCCACTTTTATAGGCATTCACAACTTGAGTCATTTTTTCAACGAATTTTTTCGAGTTCAAAGATAAACTATTATAGGCACTAACTATTTCGTCTATAGGAAGTTTTAGGGTTTTAGGTGCACCATGAGGTAATAAAAAGGTTGTAAAATGGCGGCCTGCGTTAAAGAGATTTCGGTGTTCATTGTAACCATGGCAGTAACCGTCCACACACTGCAGTCTGAAACATAAAAAAACGCAATGTATGATTACATGTATATCAATAATGAGCGAATGACAGTGGGCTAATTCTTGACACACCGGTTCACCAGGTAGCCTTTTCAGCATGCACTGTGTGTTACCGACAAGACAGAAGCAAGACCATGATTAAGTAAATAACCAACTATGGTCTTTTAGTTGAACTAGAATTTTTAAGAATTGATAGGCCTACAACAGTTTATAATTGGTGTTCACGTTGGTGTGTCCTCTTTATGAGTTACGGGTGATCAGGAAAGAATTGGATCTTCAATAGACGATATTACTGGCAATGACCATGGTCACATCTTTTACATAACCTATTCATCAGTTACATGTTCATTCAGTAGACTAGCCAGTAGGCTATGACAAGATGAATCAAGATGTTCGTGAACACGGCAAAGTCACTAGCAGTATAGGGATTCCAAACATCACAACAGAAGCCATGTTCCAGATATAAATAGAAATCTTACTTTTTGGTAAAATTAGAACTAGAAAATATCACAAGACAATCGTTGTCCTCTGAGCATGTAGGTTCATCAAAGCCCACGTCATCAACATCAGATAACTTGAGTTGACCATTAACTAAGACGAACTGTTGACGTCTATAGTCGTTCATAGAGACTGGTCCGTACAGCGTTCCTGAGAGATGGTACATCAATACTGTTACATCGTATGATATCTGAAATTATACAGAATATTTAACATGAATAAACCACATCTATCGTTGACATAAACAATAAATAACAAATTAAACCCATTGCTACCACCTTGTCGTATATGGTTCGGCCGGGCTGTAATGAAAGCAGATCGGTGAGATTTTTCGGTTCAACCTCTTTGACTGGTTGTAGTGTGAGAGTAAGAAAAGATATCACAGTTAGCTTGTTTTAGCTTGTTTTTTGGGGGCCGGGGGGGGGGGGGGGGGGGGGGGGGGGGGTTT